ATGACATCAGTATTGTTATAAATAGGAACTAAGTGCTCAAGACGCCAGATACAGAGACCACCCCCCCATCAAATTAGTTCTAATTTGAAGTCATATTTAAGTTTATTCCATGTAGAACTTATTCTCACTTAGAAAATCAAGACGATTTGGAATTTGACTAGGGGTGTTCAAACTTTTGCATATGACTGAATGTATTAACTCTAGAACCACATATAAAAGCAGCTTAGATCTGATTTGAAAAGGTCTGATATTTGCATTCACACTTCTTTGAAAAAATCAGATCAGTGGCAAAATCATAATGTAAAGGAATTGGACTTCTAATAGGATCATAGCCTTTGTTTATCATCTCAAACTGAAAAATACTGGACAAATCTGACCTTTCAATGAGGTAAAATGATCAAAAATGATTTAAATTTTCTTTCTCAGAAACGTGTGTCACAGTTCTTGGCACCTGTAAATATTCTTACAAGCAAAATCTCACGTATTCCCATTCATGTCACCCCATTCATAACCTTTCTAAGCTAACCTGAGCCTTAATTATTCATACGCACCTTCAGTATAAATATGAAGTTCTAATAATTCTGAAGGGTGCTGTAGCTGAGTTAGCACACACCCTGAGTTACTCTGACAAGGTTGTTTGATGGGATCACTTGAAATGGGAACTACACACGTTTCAAACAACCTGCATAAAATCATACTCATAATAGGACAAAGAAATGAGACTCTGAGAATTGATGACCACTGGATGTAATCAGATTTAATTCATCACCTCCAGACGGGCGGCCTTCAGTTGGCCCTCCAGGTTGCTAATCCTCTCCTGCATTTCCCCAGCAGCCTCCTGGGCCTCCCGCGCTGCCCGGCTCCTCTCGCCCTCCAGTCTCAGAGCTCTCCACCAGGTGACGGCTGCCGCCCTGCGCGCCTCCTGCGCCTGCCGCTTAGCGTCAGCTAGCCTGCGCTCCTGCTCCTCCCACGGAGCCCGCAGCAGCTCCAGCTCCTTCACACTGCAGCCACAGCCACGGCAGAGAATACATACTGCTAATGTATGGCATTGTGTCATGAAATCCCATATGTAGTCGATCAGCCAAGACATGTTTGGTGACCTAAATTTGCTTCTTTACTTTTACTTATGTGGTTTTTCACCCTGTATGACACACTGTTATCTATAAGAATGGACATAGCTACGTCACATAGCTGAAAAGCAGTAGCAGCCGTCATGAAGCCACAAATTTGTCTATTTTTATAGATAAAGGTATATTATACTACAAAGCCCACATCAGCGAGTCTATTTGGGATTAATTAAAAGCTCAATGTGATTGTGATGATTTATGCACAAGGCTAATTGGTTGTCAGCGTCTTCCTTTAATTGCTAGCTACATTAGCCTAGTAGCTCCAGTGCAAAACTAAAGAATCGAACATGTCTTGACCGTAGATTTTTCTGTGACATGGTAAAAATTCCTTACATTGTCAGAAAGTGTTGTTTTGAGCTTGCCTGCTGTTGCTGGTCTTGTAAGTAAGCTCTCTCTAAAGTTTCAGCTGTAGGACCGCATACAGCATCCTGAAATGCAGTTAATCAAACAAATGAGTGTTACAGTGCAGTAATTATTGAGTGAAACACAAAAAGAACAAAGACATTTTGTTAGGAATGTTAAGAACGTCAGTCTAATGAGCTCCCATTAAAAGTATAGTACAATCAAAAAAGGCTAAGGTCGCCACAATCTGATGAAAGCGATTGGGCCTTCAGAGAACGTCTAATAATTTCTATGAACTAACAAATACAAACTTTTAGCCAATTTTGTTTAAAGGCCTAATGATTTTTGGGAACCAGCAAGTTTACATTTTTTAGCTTTGTTAACTGGAAGAAATCATTATTCTTGTTTTTAAAATCTGTAGTTATACAATTAGTAATACACTTATTTTATTGTTAGAAACAAAAGTTCTTAACCTCCCAACTAAAAATGGTCCAGTCAGTATTTTTTTTCTCATGACATCTCTGTAGATACAGCCAAGCAAGCTTCTCTGTTGGTTAGGCCTTCAGGAGCTGGACAGTCTGTCCCAAAGTTCACACTTGTGGTTTTGTGTACTGTTGTGCACGTTCAAGTCCCATTTCTTAAATGTGCCAAAGCACAGTGTGCAAGACCAGACAAAACACTCTGAATGCATCATTTCCTGAACAGTGCATCAAAACGGTATTGAGCTAAGCATATTTCCCACAGTGTTGGTGATTTTGTTACACATTTTTTGGGAAAAATTCAGGGAAGAACATTCACATCACAAAAATGTCAGCAACTGCATGTCCCACAAAGATACGATACATATCTGCACATTTATGGTCTTAATGAGAGCTTTTTGGAAATACGTCACGCAAGTGTGCACCTACGCAAACCCACAAACCCGCAAATGTGGACTTTAAGACAAGCTGCAACTAAAAAAATAATTAGGAAGTGACAATGGAATCAACTAATCACATTTTGATCACAACCAATCACATTTTCAAAAACGGTGGGACCAAATTCATGACAAAACGTCACTCTAGGCCAAGGGTGTCCGAAGTCTGGCCCCAGGGCCAAATTCCAAACCTTGGACAGATTTTAAGTGGCCTTGGCTTCTGTTTAAGATTGTGTGTATAAGTGGCCCAGTATATTGCAGTTTTTCGTTTCACCTGATGGTGGCAGCAGCACTATATCAGAGCAGTTTAGGTAGCTAAGTAAATATTAACCCTTTAAGATAAAAAAAAAAAAACTTGGCTATTTATGCTGTTTAATCTGCTCTTCTTGTTTAAGAACGTGATTTCTGAATGTAGTTGCTGCATTTATTTTACATGTAAAGAACATTTTTAAAAAAACCAAAAATGTGTAGGTTTTTGTTTAGGCTCAGAAATGATATTTTTGAACCAATAAACACGTGAATAAGAACATGGTAGCACACAGAAAACTCTGATAAAATGTTCTGATATTTTGAAAACTTAATATTTTGAATCATTTGTGAATAATTTTTTGGCCCTTAAGTATTTTGACATGGTACAATCTGGCCCTGTTTGAGAAAAGTTTGGACATTCGTGCTGTAGGCCTTTTCAAAGTCACTGTCTATAAATACCAGCCACAATCTAACCAGATTTCAGTGGATTTTTAGAAGCAGAAAACAGTGGCAGCAGCTGTTTGCCAGGACTTTTTACTGAAAGAGTCACTGTAAAACTGCAACATATAAGGTAAAATATTTATTAATGGCTACCAGCTTCAAATAAAACCTATGCAACATCTTTCACAATCCAGAAGAGCCAAAAATGTTCACGTTCATTAGCTTAGTACTAACATGTCATTAGAAATCCCATAGGGGTGCTATCAGAAATGCTGCCTTCTGTTCATTGTTAGCCACATTAGCATGTTTGGTCAGGGTATTCCTTTAAGTGAGTGAGACAAACATCTGTAATTATGTGATAAGCATGTACATGTTGTTGTTTTTAGGCTCCTCCCCTCTCACCCTCTCTGAGACATGTACTTGGAGCAGCTGTTTGAGGTCTGCAGACTTGATCTTGTGGATGATGTTCTGGATGTCTCCTCTTGGAGAGGGAGGAGGCAGGATCTCAGGCATGGAGCCACACGTCTCCTCCATAACTGTCCTCTGCTAGAAGAGAGAACCGCAGCTTAGGCCACTTTGGACTCTTCCTGCATCCTGACCAAAATGTCCCTCAGGTTTAAAACAATTTAGTACACTGTCTAAAAGTTTGTCCAAAAGTTTGTAGACACCAGCTTATCCGGTATTATAAGGGTATTAATAGGGAGTTTGTGACCCTTTTGCTGCAGTAACAGCCTCTACTCTTCTGAGAAGGCTTTACACAAGATATTGGAACATTGCTGTGAGGATTTGATTGCATTCAGCCACAACAGCATCAATGAGGTCAGGTACTGATGTTGGATAGTCTGCTCTGTAGCACAAACACCACTCCAGAGAACACAGCTCCACTGCTCCACAGCCCAATGCTGAGGGGCTTCTAGCCATTAGCATTGGGCATGGCTTATTCTATTAGCAATGCTTTTCTAAGGAGATTATACAAGCTGTGTGCTCACTTGAACAGCTGTGTTAGCAATGGGTGCACCAGTGACACTTAATTTCACACCGTAAAAAAATGAGAAGTCAGCTCAACTTAAAATGACATAGTAACTGATTACTGGCTTTTCTTGAGTTGACTAAACTTGAAGACATCAGAGTTCACCCAACTCAAACTTCTTAGTTGAGTCAGACGTTCTCCCAGCTACTGTTTATAGCTCTGCATCTCAGTTAGATAAACAAAATTGAATTTGTGTTTTTTTTTTTTTTACTCAGTTTCCCCACTAGCTGGCGCTCCTTCTATCATACAGTCCCATCTGGCATATTTTCCTCTTGGGCTTCCACATGTGGACAGCTGTGGTATTGCTGGGATTCAAACTCACAACCTCCTGACGTTGGGATGAATGTTCAGTCAGATGCACCACATGAGATGTTGCCATGCATTCACATTTATGGCATTTGGCAGACGTTCTTATCCAGAGCGACTTACAGTGTGATCATTTTACACAGGTAGGCGAAGGTGGTGTTAGGAGTCTTGCCCAAGGACTCTTATTGGTATAGTGTAGGGTGTTTGCCCAGGTGGGGATTGAACTCCAGTCTACAGCATAGAAGGCAGAGGTGTTACCCACTAGACCACACCAAACATGCTTTGAAGTTAAAACAGCAGATATTTTCTCCAGTGTATTAAACATCTGTAGACACAAAATCTGAGTTGCTTCATGTGTTCTTGAGTGGTGCAGTGGACTAAGCCGTCACTCCAAAAGGTGGTTGTGAGTTTGAGCCCTAGTGATGCCACAGCCATCAGTAAGTGTGAACCCAAGAGGAAAACTGTCTAGCAGCAATGTGTGATGGAAAGAGTCCTGGCTAGTGGGGAAGTTGAGTATAAAAAACGAGTTCATTTTATTTACCTAACCGAGATGCAGAACTAAAAAAATTAAAAGAACTTTTGACTCAACTAAGAAGTTTGAGTTGTGTGAACTCAATTTGTGTCCTGAAGTTGAGTCAACTCAAGAACAGCCATGTAATTAGTTACTATATCATTTTGAGCTGAGCTGACCTCTCATATTTAACAGAGCATAAATCAGAAGGGGTGTTTGGGCACTTTTGGACAGTTTTAGGTATTATGTATGCACATGTTTAATGCATTACCGGCTGAGCCTCCATTATCTCATGGTGTAGTGAGTAATGGTTAGGGATAGCGCCTCTCTTCACTCCAGGAGGACTCAAAGCACATTTGTCAAACCTGCCACAAAGCAACAAACCGCCTGAATTTAGTCATGTAGGGTCCAGACATTCATCCTGAACAGGCTATTAAAACTGGCAAATCGCTGCCATTTACCTCAAGAGTGCTTGCTGTGAGTGCTCTTGTAACCTCATCAAGTCAGATTGCAGACTCTTCAGTGGCAGAAGAGAAAAAAGTGATTCGGAAATGTTTATAAATGACCAACAAACTGTCTCTGAGTTTTCAGTGCAGGTCCAATGCACACACAGTGGCGTGGGCCGAACATTGTATTATGAATGTGCAATATGAATGCAGAGAATGTAGTACCTCGATGATTTTGTGGTGCTCAAGATAAGTGTCCTTCAGCTTCTGCAGTGCAATGTTTTTCTGTGAAAGAGATAAAATGAGAATGACTTAGGAGTAATCAAAAACCCAAATTGTGGTGACTTTCTTAAGATCTACTTTCCTTTTTCTCAGTAGAAAATAAACACAGTTGTATGCAAAAGTTTGGACACCCCTGGCTGTTGATTTTCTAGGGGAAAAAATGAGTTGACACATCCTCTACAGTGAACATGGCATTCTCCTGAACATTTTAGTGCACAATTTCTATTTATTTGCTGAATTTAACATGTTAGAAACACATAAAGTATGCTGTAACCTTTGCACGGGCCAGACTTTGTTTTATTTTTTCCCCCAGCATGTTAAATTCAGCAAATAAACAGAAACAGTAACAGTAGATAAACATTAAATTGTGTTATCTGTAGAGCAGGGGTGTCCAACGTCCGGCCCCAGGGCCAAATACGGCCTGCAGGTTGATTTTAATCGGCCCTCTCACCTATATGTTCCTGCTGTTCCTTTCACTTGACAGTGGCAGCAGTTTACAATTTACAATTAATTTACAATTAATCTGCAAGATAATTTGAATGACTTAGTCGTGACTACATACAAACAGCACAGCTGACGGGACAACCGGCAATTTCTACTTATTCATCCAGAGCCATAACAAATATGTGCCTCATATGTCAAGAGACTGTACTGAATTTAATATTACAATACATGACGAAACCCAGCATGGACAGTACAATTAATGTTCAGGGGAAAAGAAGGGCAATAAACGAAAGCAGCTTTTTATCAGAACAAATTCAGTAGTTTGTACAGCGATTATTACTTGTTCTATATGTTTGTGTTTTTTATATTTTGAGTGCAGAATATTTAAAATGATTCAGGAGTAACATCTTGGCAAAGATTGACCGGCCCTCAGGTATTTTGATCATGTCCATTCTGGCCCCCTTTGAAAAAAAGTTTGGACACCTCTGCTGTAGAGGATGTGTTGACTTATTTTCATGTAGAAGATCAACAAAACATTAATTTGATCAGTTCTTCTGCATATTACTGTATATTACAATATTGTATTATTGGATCACCGATTACTGAATTCTTTCTGTTTTGATCAGTCAGTGACTCAGTAAGAGACAGTGACTCTTGGAGGCCCCAAAACTATCGTAAATAAATGCCTCAGACATCATGCAGTGTGTTTCCCACCATTTCATGTATTAACTCTCTGCAGTGTAGCTCTTAGACGCATTAAATGCTTCAGAAGTTTGGTTCCTATCAGCACCACTGTAGACAACTCAGTAATTCTCTAAAATGATGCATTTCACATCAATCTGTAGTGGGAAAATAGTGGTAAATCTGACAAAAAAAAAACATGTTTTCTTTGGGGACTTTTACCCTGCAAAGCCCTTCATGTGTCTCTCCACCATGAATCGATTTTAAAAATACATTTTGAGCCACGACTCCAACTCAAAACTATCATAAAATAATGAATGCATATACATGCGCTCAAGAATTCGATCATAATCGGATTTCTGCAGTTATCAGATTATTCAAATGGTCATGTAAACACCATATTCTGATCTAGAAAGCCGATTTAGAAATCCGATAAAGAGGCTGGGTTTTAGCTCATTAATAGGATTTCTCAGTGCATGTGAACTCTTACTCTGATTTCTTTCTATTTCTCAGTCTGCGCATGCACGAGAACAGACGGTGGATGTTGCGAGACGCAGCAAAACACTTTTGGAGCTGCACTGAAACCAACCACGAATTAAGGGATTTAAATATTCTTCATCTTCTAGATGATGTGTTTTCATATTTTCAGGGAAAGTGGAGCGATGTTTAAAAAAAAGCTGCAGCATGAAGTTTACGTTACGTTGCATTTACGTCACGTCCTCTTCTGTGAGTTTATTGGATATCTGATTACTGTCTGACTCATGAAGACCTGGAGTTTCCTCATTATCTGATTACTCAAGAGCATGTAAACGCATTGATCGGGTTTTCTGATTAAAATCTGATTTTCTGCAGTTATCGGATTATTAAGTGCATGTAAACACACTGAATGCCGCAGATATCAGGCAGTGCGTTCCAAACAATTGAGTGAAATAACATTTTGTGATGTCAGTTTTGGAGGCATTAAAATGCTTCAGATGTCTGGTTCCCATCACCACCACTGTAAACAATTCTGACTCTGTAAGTTTCTCTATAATGGAGCATTTCACATCAAACTACTCTGAATAACTTTATTCACATCTTAACCATTAATTTATGCAATTTTAAAAAAAATCAGTGGACTTCCCCTTTAAAGCACATTTCCTTTTTAAGTTAAATTACTATTTCAGTCTACGCTTCTGGATAAAAGATGAAATATGAAGTGATAAACTATGAAACTGTCTACTGAGGAAACTTATTAATGGAATTCGGCCATTTTTTCAGCAGAAACAGTGAAAGCTTTTGAATACAGTGTGATACAGATGTGTCTCACCTTGGTAATTTCCCTCTCTTTCACTGCCAGTAACACACGAGTCTCCTCCAGTTCTTCCTGCACACAGTTAGAGACCAATATTACAGATATTGCAATTACAGATCACATCCACCACAAATAAACAGTGTGTTGATCTCAGGGGAGCACTCTCACCCTGATGTCTGTGTTGGCTCTTTTCAGTTTGTTCATCCGGTCCTCAGCACAGCTCCGCTCAAACATCAGCTTTTCATTCTGTTGGGAGAAAAGCATCGGTGGGAAAAGTGCGACGCAGTTATCTTCAAAATAAGTGCTGATTTGTGAAAAGTTACCTTTTCTTCGATTGCTTTGATACGGGCCTTCAGGTGTTCACTCTCCTTCATCTAAAATATGAAACACCTCATAATGTAAAGATCACAATCAATCAAATCAGTGCTGGTACAGTCCATTACACTGCATATGTTATATTGGCTGACATCATTACTGATCGACAGCTGTGCTTTTCAAAGAAAACTCTCAACACTGCCAAAATAGTATCTTGTTAAGTCAAATGATCTTAAATCTAGTATATATATATATTCAATAGTTCTCCTGTTGATATTGTTGTAAGCTTAATTTAAGAACTTATTTCCATTTTTTACATGTTTTAAGTAATTTTATTAAGTAAAATTATCTCAATATATTGGCAGATAATTTTGCTTGTTTTAAGAAATGTGCTTGAAATAAGCTAAATTATTACTTAACCCTTTTGTGGTGTTCAGGTCTGTGGGGCCCATTTTCAATGTTTACCAAAATAAAGAATTATGCTATTTATTATTATTTCAACCCCAGATTCCATGTCCTTTGCTCATTTTCTGTGAAGAACATATAAAATAACCCATTTTCAGTTTCTTCACTCTGTTCACCCCCCACACATTTATATTACACATGTGGTGTTGGGTGAACCCTGTGGGGAATAAAAGTGTGGAAGTGCTGTGTCCTTCACTCTGTTCTCCTCCTACATGGCCTGCTGTTAGTGTGTGTGTGTGTGTGTGTGTGTGTGTGTGTCTGTGTGTGTGTGTGTCTGTGAGGGTGGACAACATGGACAGGCTGCTGACTGGCTACAGCTGCTAAAGGAGAACCCTACGCTGGACACGTAATATTTTAAACATCTGGCATTTACATAAATTGTTATGGCTGTATTGATTTAAAAACCAGTAATGTGGTTCCACCAGACCACTGAGTAACAAACACATCAACACCACACAAGGGTCAAAACACATAATAAATGTCTGGAAATAAGCTAAATAATCTTATAATCAGTGCACAACCATCTCAAAATAAGAAATATTAGATAGACTAGAATTAAAATAATTTAACTTGACAAGATGCTATTTTTTGCAGTGAAAGTTAATCATTTTGAGTTCACCAGCTTATCAGTGCTGTGGAGTTTATTTGGGGAGGGGGGGGACAGATAGAACCCTTTCATAGAACCTATTTCCAAAGAACAATTCTTCTTTTTCCTCACTTTTTTCACATTTTTTTTAAATAATAGTGTTTGACATATGATGGTAACATACCATTTACTTCAGTTCATACAGTCCATATATGGACATTAAGCTGCTAAAACAGCCTGTTTCAAACTGACTGTGTCCGACACATGCAGCATTTTAGCTCCACCCATTCACACAGAAGCTATAATTAGGGTTTCAGCCTGTACTGCTTTCTGATTGAGGCGCAATACATGGCAGCCCATCAGAACAGAGCTCATTTGCATACACTGTCGTGTGCAAAAGTGAAAACGAGTTAACACATCCTCTGCAGAGAACACACTTCTGCTCATTTTAATACACTATTACTGTCTATTAGTTGAATTTGAAAAAAAAACAAAAAAACATAATGTGGCTTGTGCAAAAGTTTTGGCACATCCTATTTTGTTTTGTTTTTCCAATATGTTAAATTCAGCTAATACATAGAAACTAGAATTTCCAGATACATGCCATGGCTAAGTGTGTTCTCTGTAGAGGATGTGGTGACTTACTTTCACTTACAAATAAACAAAACATGTAATCCGACCGGTGTGTTCAGACTTTTGCATATGACTGTATCAGTCGCAGTAACAAAACCAGCCTGTTTAATTCTAAGGGACAAAGAAAGAGCACATAAAAGCTGTTTTTAATAGATTTTTGTTACCAAAAATGCATAAAAATATAGAATATGGGCTCTTTAAACTCTTCTCTACCTTGTATTATTAAGGCATCCTATCTTCTATATTATACATCATTTATGCATAGAACTCTTGTATAACATTGTATAAGTAATTCGTCAGACTGTAATGACCTCCAAGGAGCAGTAAGCAGTTCCAGAAGCAATAAATAAAGCTTTAAGAACTCTTGTTTAGGAGTGCGACTGACCAGTGCATGGCTGTTGGTCTGAGCTTTGGTGGCTCTGTCTTGGCTTTCTCTCAGCGCTCTCCTGGCTTCATCCAGCTCCTCAGACAGAGAGCGCGCTCGCACTACACACAGCTGAGCACTGGTGATATTAAACACACAGACACCAGTGCGGTTATTTATTAAACATTTCAAATACGTTAGGCATCGTTCCAAAATACATGCTAAACACTAACGTCTTTCAGGATGTACTGTCTACATACAAGGGTTCTGCAAGTTACACCCAGACTCTGGAACTGTACTGGAGGAACGGAACACCAGTCTTCCAAAAACGTTCCCTCAGCTGGTGTGTTGATGATGGTGGTGCAGAAAAATCAGTTTACAAATTCACACACACTCACACACACACACACACACACATACACACACACACTCACACACACACACACACACACACACACACTCACACACTCACACACATTCACACACACACACACACACACTCACACACACACACACACACACACACACACACACACACGCACACACTCACACACACACACACACTCACAAAGGTGAGTCTCTGACATTTTACAGTCTATGTACACTGATAAGGCATAACATTATGACCACCTCCTTGTTTCTACACTCATTGTCCATTTTATCAACTCCACTTACTATATAGGTGCACTTTGTAGTTCTACAGTTACAGACTGTAGTCCATCTGTTTCTCTGCATACTTTGTCAGCCCCCTTTACCCTGTTCTTCAGTGGTCAGGACCCCCATGGACCCTCACAGAGAAGGTACTATTTGGGTGGTGGGTCATTCTCAGCACTGCAGTAACACTGACGTGGTGGTGGTGTGTTAGTGTGTGTTGTGCTGGCCTGAGTGGATCAGACACAGCAGTGCTGCTAGAGTTTTTAAACACCGTGTCCACTCACTGTCCACTCTATTATCTTGTTGGTCTACCTTGTAGATGTAAAGTCAGAGACAGCAGCTCATGTGTGTCAGAATAGTTTGTGTTGGTCATCCTCTAGACCTTCATCAGTAGTCACAGGATGCTGCCCACAGGACGCTGTGGGCTGGATATTTTTGGTTGATGGACTATTCTCAGTCCAGCAGTGACACTGAGGTGTTTAGAAACTCCAGCAGCACTGCTGTGTCTGATCTACTCAGAGAAAATAACTTAAGTCTCACTCGGATTTTAAACTGGACTTAACTGTGTCTAGGAGAAGAACCTGAGACCAAGAGGAGATCTCATTTAGAATATTGAATTAAATGAAATATGAATAAGAAACACAGCATTATAATACCTTTTTTAACATATAAATATATTGCCTAAAAATAGTCATTATATTTTATTAATCTGCGTGTATTTGCATGTCATTTTTTCTGACCTTTTTTCAATAATGGCCCGTTAATGGGACGTGCTAAAACGCTTAACATGAACAAACCTTAACATGACTTCATGCACTAAAACAGTGACCAAGGAACACAAAATTTCTCTCCCATTTTACTGGTCAGAGGCTCTCTTATGCCAAAAGATGAAGTCAATCTAAGCAGAAAGTCATCATTTCTGTTACATACTGGACATGATTGCCTTCTACTACCAAAAGAAGAACCTGCATTGTAAAAGTTTTAATTTTTTATGTTCAGCTTTTTCCTTTGTGTTTAAACCCATTATAAGGAAAAAACCTCACACAGCTTAATGTACTGAAACAATTGGTTTAGCTTGTTAGGCCATGTTAAGCTCTTGCCTTACATGTTTCTATGGAAAAAAACTATACTTGAAAAATGATTGCTTTATTTTTAGATTACAGGCTTGTCTTTTTTATAGTAGTGTGTACTTAAACACTCAGCAATACAGTAGAGTCTATGTTAAATGTGCTATTCCTAGATTATTTTCTTAGTACAGTGAGCCATGTTAACCTTGTAGTAAATGGGTTTCAAAAAAGCTTAATGTAAAAATGATTACATTTAGATTACATATTCATTCTTTCAGCTCTAGAGGGTCCTTGTGACAAGCAATATGTGAGAGAAAATTGGTGGTTCTAGATAGCTGTTTGAGTACATTATGCCACTTCTTTACTAAGCATTTTAGAATGTCAGTTAAGTACATCTCGGACAACGACAGCACACCTGGCCAGTTTGCTGCGCAGCTCTGACACCTCCAGACTCAGCTGAAGGTTCGCTTCCTCACACTGAGACACCGTCTTCAACAGGCTGCTGTTCTGCCCACTCAGCCTGTTCTGAGCGTGCTTCAGCTCCGCCACCAGGCCCAATAAATCGCTCGATTCACTGGAGCCAAGAACAAGAACAGCCTCAGTGCAACACAGGTATAGCTAACATTCATCTTGCTTTACAACTTGTCAAACTGTAAAGCCTGAAGAAATGAAATGACTCTACTGACCAATGACATTCAGCTCGGTCTGTGAAAGTGGTTTCAGTGAGTAAAGAAGAGTATTCAGTCCCTGTGAATGAACAGCGAGAACATTAATATGGTCTAAAACCAAATCCTATGTATTAGGATGATCTGATACTCACCACTCCCAGCTGCTTTGCACAGATCTGATCCTGACGCCTGGTAGTTGTCGTCAGATAACCTATAAGTAAACAGCAACATCTGGTCAAACGCAACAAAGTCCAGACTATAGAATATGAGACTTATATGGATTATTCTACTGAACTGATTCAAAGTCAGAGCTGAAAACACCAAAGTGATAAAAAAAACTACTGAAACTTTACCAAATGTTTCAGTAGTGACTGTTTTGTGACAATTTTAGCTCATTTTCAGCAAAAGTTAAAAAACACTAGCAGGTACATAACTAGTAAATACAGCTGTGAATAGTTGTACATACATAAAATTATAATATTTTTATTAAAACACAAAAACGTATATTTAATTGCAGAAAATGTGTGTTCCGGTACTGACAGTTCTTTATGCTACATATTAATTTTCAGACTTTGGAACGCATTTACTTCAAAACAAAGTGTGTGTTTACATGCACTTAATAATCCATTCATAATCGGATTTCTGCAGTAACACTGACGTGGTGGTGGTGTGTTAGTGTGTGTTGTGCTGGCCTGAGTGGATCAGACACAGCAGTGCTGCTGGAGTTTTTAAACACTGTGTCCACTCACTGTCCACTCTGTTAGACACTCCTACCCTGTTGGTCCACCTTGTAGATGTAAAGTCAGAGACGATAGCTCATCTGCTGCTGCACAGTTTGTGTTGGTCATCCTGTAGTCCTTCATCAGTGGTCATAGGGCGCTGCCCACAGGACGCTGTTGGCTGGATATTTTTGGTTGATGGACTATTCTCAGTCCAGCAGTGACACTGAGGTGTTTAAAAACTCCAGCAGCTCTGCTGTGTCTGATCCACTCAGACCAGCGCAACACACACTAACACACCACCACCACATCAGAATACAAACCCATGTTTGAAGTGTATAATCACCTATAACTACAAATTGTTGTAGTTTTGTTAGCTTAGAATGAGCTTTCATATCTACATAGGGAGCAGGTCCTCTTCCAACAGAGGTTGTCATGTTGCGCCGCCATGTTTCTACAGTAGCCCAGAATGGACAAGCCAAGCCCTGGCTCTAAAGACTGCCTTTCGCGTTTTTATGTTGAAGCAGCAGCTTGAATTTTGTTGGCGCAACAGCACCGGTTGTAAGACGTAGAAAGAAGAAGAATCAGTGTGCTGCTTGTGCTGGCTGACCATTTTGTGTTGTGAGAAGTTTGAGAACCTACATTTTGACAAATGGAGGATCAGACTTAATACTTAGAACAAGTAAAAGCAAGGGAGGGTAAATCCTCTTCGTCAAAGAAGGGAAAACATGATGGCCACTGTAGGTTCTACCACTCTCTGCAACAATCTGCAACCTCACTGTTAGATGCCACTAAGTCTTACACACTGCACCTTTAAGTTTGTTGATGTTTGTCTGGTCGGCCAAGAGACTTCTATTATATCAGCCTCGTAGCTCCACTGCAAAACTACAGAAGCAGACTTTGGACACCGAACATGTCTTAGCCGCTCAACCACTAGCCGCTTTGGGATAAGGAAAAAACTGTGTCCATTCCATCACCCCTGGCACATTTGGTTCAAAGAAGAAAGCACAAATTGAAGACATATAGGCCTACAAGTTTGTTTGTTAGCACCCCTTACCTGTCTTGGCTACACTGAGCGATCCACTTCCTCATGGTGGTGTGGAAGGCGTCTCTGCTGACGAGGGCATCCTGGTCCTCAGGGTCCAGCATACGCTGTAGAGCGGTCAGCTTGTCCTGGCCGTGGCTGTGGCCCGTCATGGCCTGTAGATACTGCACCACAGTGGAGGCCAGGACCTCTCCTGTTGGTGAGAGACATCTCTGAGCTCTGTAGAACAGCTAACGGCTCATTCCTTTCATCACTGAAAGAGGAGACTCTACCTTGGCCTGTAGTATCGCATGCCTCGAAAGTAATATTCAGCAGCTCTTCTTCTGAAAAGCCATTCATGTCAAGTTCGCACAAATCCCTGTTGTCAGGCCTGAAGGCTGAAACAATGAAAAAGCGGTGGGCTCGTCATTGTAATCACGTCTGTAAATGCAAATGACCACATAAAAGCTCTGTCCATCAAAAAAGACTTACTTTCACTGAGGTCATACATCTGGCAAGGCTCAAGGGAGCAGGTTCCAGAGTCGATGGACAGACTAGGAGCGCTGTAGCCATGGTGGTCACTTTTTTGTGCCTTGGACTGGTGAGACAGAGAGGTGGGCTCACTGTCCTCAGCAAAATCCCCAGAAAAACTTTGGCCCCCATTAAAGTTTACTGAGGCCATCGCCGCTGGGGAAAGAAAACAACGTAGCACTATCAGTGTAGATCACTGTGCCAAATTTGCTCTGCCAAGTTGCCATGATATTGATCATGATATTGACTTCATGCACTTGCAGCTTAGAATGAAAGAGGACTATATTGTTAACTATATATCTTGACCATAAACCATAATAGTAATAATAATTATTCCACAGAAATAGTTTATACTGCAGTCCGCCGGTAAAGGGAAGTACTCAGACCTTACATATTTATGGATTATGCTATGATCTGGTTAAGCCCAAGGCATTATCTGTGATATTAATAAGCTAAATATATACAAAATTATCATTGATAGTACTTTCTATTGGGAGGTGTCTGTCCCAAACCCTAACCCCTAAAACTACACTTGTGAAAATAAGACATTTTTCTCAAAGTGAAGCTGAAAGATTTAGTTTGATCATTAGTTTAAATTTTAGTTTTAGTCCAGAGGGGGAGCTGTGTTTGACCCCTGCATTGTAGAGCAGGAAGTGAGACTGCATCCCTGTCCGTCATGGCCACATGGTGAACAGTTGTGTCTCACTGTTTTGAAGCAAATGTGTGAAATCAGACGTGTCGCTACAGAAACACATATTGTCAGCAATTTACTACATTTTTTGCGTTTTAATGTCGATTTTATGTGTGTACAGCTGTTCAAAGCTGTGTTTGCTAGTCATGTGAATTCTGCTCAAAATTAGCAAAAACTGTTACTACGAAAAATAGTCATTACTGAAAATTTGGGATTTGGTTTCAGTAGTGTTATGATTGCTTTGTTAGTGACAAAATTAAATGTAAAGGGGTCACTCAAAAAAACAAAAGGATTTCAGTGTAAAGTCCAAGTCAGTTAAAAGTCGGAAATATGTTTTGAACTCTAACTTTGAATCAGTTTGGTAGAATTTTACACAGATAGATAGATAGATAGATACATAGATAGATAGATAGATAGATAGACAGATGAGCAAGAAACCAGTAAAATGTGCAAAAAATGTATTTATTTTAAGTTTAAAATTGGAAAAATTTAACATGTGCCTTAACTTTTACACAGGCCACATTGAATGTTTTAGACAAGTTTCACAGAAGTGTGCCTACATATATATATATATATATATATATATATATATATATATATATATATATATTTATATATATATATATATATATGTATATATATATACACACACACACACACACACACATATATATACATATATATATATATGTAGGCACACTTCTGTGAAACTTGTCTAAAACATTCACCGTGGCCTGTGTAAAAGTTAAGGCACATATTAAATTTTTCCAATTTTAAACTTAAAATAAATACATTTTTTGCACATTTTACTGGTTTCTTGCTCACAGCACACCCACTTCAAGACATGAATGGCTTGTTAATGAGTTGATTTGTCGGACCAGGTGTGTTTGGAGCAGAGAGAATAAACTAAGGTGCAAGAAGGGGGGGCTCCAGGACCACGGGTTGGGAGCAACCGCTATAGAAGATGTATGTATGGTGTGTACATATATATTTATATAGATATATGCAAAAGTCTATGCAAAAGGCACATAAGTGCATTTTTTGAAATCACTCTTTATAGATGTATGTATATATCAAAATATCACATTCAGAAATACTGACAGATATATGCTGTAAGAATATGACTCACTAACTCACTAACTCACCCTCAGGCCACTATTGACAGATATATGCTGTAAGAATATGACTCACTAACTCACTAACTCACCCTCAGGCCACTATTATATCTATTATATCTGAAAAAGAAGAAAAGATCCACAGAAACATACCTTTCAGTTGACTACTTTCCTCCTGAAACCTCCATTCTGTCAACACGGTGGCTACGGTGGTTAGACTCTCAGCACAGGAAGCATGTTCTCACCGAAGGCTGAAAGCTGCACTGTTGTGTAAGTAAAGTGTAAGCAGCGTCCTGTTGTCCATAGCTGACTGTGCTGTTCAAATAGAAACCCCTTCAAAGCTAATCTTGAGAAAGGCTTTGTCTGTTTTCATCTCAGTACACACATCAAATCCAGCTGACATGGCTGCCCCCCAACCCCCCCAGCCCACTTATTTCACTGCCTGTGTGCTCGTAACAGGACACAATGTTGTAATGGACTGTTTTAATTAACATTCTGCAGTTTTCCATATCAAATGATTCAGCTACGCCGATGCTCCACACTAATCGAGCCTCCCATTCAATTCCCTCATCTCTTTTGCCTCAAAGGCATAACCAAACTCCAAAGAATTTTTACAAGGCTAGTCAGAATTTCATTGACTGTACAGGCTCATTACTCATTCATTCATTCTTTCATCATCATCATCATCATCATCATTATTATTATTGTTGTTGTTGTTGTTGCCATGTTTGTTTTTTATTAAATGTTGGTAGTATTATAAGGCTGTTTCTAATAACTAAAATTATTATTATTATTATTATTATTATTTATTATTATCATAAGTATTAGTAATAGCCAATTGCTGTTTTTGAATGTATTTTTCTTTTTCTTCTTTTTTCTTGCTGTTGTTAGATAGATAGATAGATAGATAGATAGATAGATAGATAGATAGATAGATAGATAGATACACAACTAGGAGTTGCAGCAGTATTACAATGTAAAGTGCATAGTGAAAGAGTCATTACAGCAGGTTATGCTATATTGCACAGTGAGTATTAACAGGAGAGGAAATATAGTGATGTGGTTTAGCACAGTTCAGACAGCAGGAGATCAGTACCGACTCTGCACTGTCGTTGTAGAGACTCATTGTATCAAAAAAACACATTTCTAAATGTACCTTAATCAAAATGTTTTCAATTTGCAGTCTGTGTTCATTTCAAATTAGATTGAATAATCACACAAATCACTCGCAGTAATGATCAGTCGAGATATACGTATGTCTGGACCTAAGAAGAAAATATCCTGGGTCTTCTTAATGTAGACCTGAAAAGGCCCTCACAACAACAGTAGTCAAGCAGCCTTGTGGAAGATTCTACAACTGGGTTGCCAGACAGCCCTAAAAATATTTTTCCACATACAACCTGAGAAAACGTGTTATTTAACCATTAACCATGTGTTAACAAGTTTCTTTGCTGGCAGTGCCTAAAATGAGTAATGCGGTTGAGTTTTTAGGATAGAAATATGCAAGATGGTTAGAAAAAAAAGAAAATCTTTTATTTTCTTCCTGCCATGATCTTCAGGAAATTCAGATGATGCAACATCTTGTTCAACATCTGTGGAATATTCCAGACACTTTATAGAGCTGAACGTGTTCAGTTAACAGAGTTGACTCAGCAAAGTCAAGGGACGCCTGAAAAAGGATGTTTCAAGCATGAGATGTTAGATAAGTCTAATATTAGACAAACGACAAAATGCTCTTCTAAGAGACTTTTATCACTTTATTTTGCCCATAAATTGCACAGGTACATACTGTTACAATACAGCCTTCAGGGCTGGAAAAGGAAAAATGTATAATATATACAGGGTGTCCTAAAAAAATGGACATCATTTGAGATGTGAATATCTGAGTAACTGAGTAACTACATTTCAAAAGAAATTAAATAGGCTTCATGTTGAACAATACAAGATTTATTTATCTAAATTTGAACAAGAAATTCAAAGGGATATAGATTTTATAACTGATTTCACAGCTTCACAAATGTAATATCTTCCGATACTGGTGGTCGTCCAGATCCCTTTGCACTGCACAGACAGCCTTCCTCTTTGAATTTTTTGTGCCATGTCCAAATCTCCTTTCCAGTTGGTGCATTTTTATTGAATTTTCTCGAAAATGCTGCTGCACATTCTTGTTTGACTGTGTTCGAGCATATTCTAACACACAACATGCCTTTTCATTTCTTGAGAAGGCCATTCTTCAACCTGAAAAAACACATTAAAAATTAAACTTGGTTAGTTTTTACACATTTTGCTAAAATTTGAGATCATTTGAGGGAGAACTGGCTACGTTATTAGACTACGAAATTACGTCATTTTTTTGGGGGGACACACTGTATTATATATAAACAAAAAAGGAAGAAAGAGAGATGAGGGGAAAAAAGAAGACTAAGAGCATTTAAGGTTTTGCAAACATTCAGGATTTTACAATATTCTAGCGTGTTTTGCTTTAGTGTTCTTCAGTCACTGAGGTCAGTGTTACTGCAGTGCTGAGAATGATCCACCACCCAAAGAGTACCTGCTCTGTGAGGGTCCATGGGGGTCCTGACCACTGAAGAACAGGGTAAAAGGGGGCTAACAAAGTATGCAGAGAAACAGATGGACTACAGTCTGTAACTGTAGAACTACAAAGTGCACCTATATAGTAAGTGGAGCTGATAAAATGGACATTGAGCGTAGAAACAAGGAGGTGGTCATAATGTTATGCCTGATTGGTGTAAGCAAACGCTTCTAAACCCATTTATTTGGACAATAAATGCCTTTAAAAACATTAGAATAATAATAAACGCAGTAAAAAGTAACAAGGATTTCTTATTTTCCAAAATGCAATTAAGACATTTTGAGCTGGTTAGAAGAACAGTGTATGGGTTCTGACTTCTTTTCATGGCCCCAGCCATTGAATGCATTAATGCAAAAAGGAAGAAAGAGAGTCGAGGGGAAAAAGAAGATGAAAAGCATTCAAGGTTTTGCAAACATTCAGGACTTTACAATATTCTAGCGTTTTTTTTTGTTTTTGTTTTTTTTTGCTTTAGTGTTCTTCAGTCCTTTCAGTGACTGAAGAACACTAAAGCAAAAAAAAAAAATACATTTAGTTTTTAACCATTTGTATGGCACCGAATCGATTCTTTTACGGAAAACGGAGAGATTTTGCTCATTTTGTGAGGACTTTTATTTTGCCCTCTTCAATCCTGGCACGGGAACTGATAGCCGTTGTTGTCCTGAGGCTGTGGAGAACCGTGAGAGGAGGAAGGCAGAACAGAAGAAGCCTCTGCTGAGCCGAATATCGGGGTTTAAAGTGTCACCATGTCTCGGGGATCCATCGAAATCCCCCTGAGGGACACGGATGAGGTACGTAGACACTTCACATCTTCACGTTTTGTCTTTTTTCACAGCTGTTCGTGTAGCAGAGCGCGCGGCGGCTAACTGACCCTCTGTCGTTAACGTTAGCCACGTTCGCTAGGTTAGCTCGTTAGCATTCGCGCCGCTGTGAAAAGTTCGCTTAAATTTCATTTAATTCGTGTTTGTCTGATTTTTTGGGACACATTATCTGTTTTACTAACTCTATCCAGGCTAACGACCACATATTGACTAGTTACATAGTTATGTCTTCCACATAAGACGGTAGTAACTGGCTTGTTGACCTGCCAAGGTAGCTAACTTAAAGGGACACTCCACCAAGTTTTCAAAAATTTTCATAACTCAGGCACCGAGATATGAACAGAGGCATTCAGAGTGGTTTGACGTGAAGTGGTTCATTGTAGAGAAAATGACAGATTTCTCTACAGTGGCGGTCACAATATCTATCTACAACACAAATATGGCAATTTTAGTCAGTATCCGTTTTATTTACTAACATAACGCTACGTTTGTCTTCTGAGGTTTTATATGTAGTGTTAATGATGGTAGAAAGTCCTAAAAGGTAACTTTTCTTTGAGGACTATTTTGCCTTACAGTACCCTAGATGTGTCTCTCCAATATAAATGGATTAAAATACAGTTTAAGCCAAAACCCTATCACAAAACTATCCTAAAACAAAGTGTCAGACATCAGACAGCGCATATCCAATCATTATGTAATAACTTTCTGTGAGGAAGCTTTCAGAGGCATTAAACTCCCAAGATCTTTCAAAGTTCCTATCACCACCACTGTGAACAATTCTGACTCGGCGAGTTTCTCTAGAACAGATTTCACATCAAATCAAATCAGTTTTTTTTTTTTAATTGGTGGAGTTCTCCTTTAAAGGGTTTATATTTGGGGGTGGGCTGTTTGAATATTTTTTGGCTTTCTGGAAAAACTTTTTTTTTACAAAAAGAAAAATTTGATGAACTGCTAAAGATAGTGGTATATCACCTATGCCAGCTTATGTTGTGTAGTTGTGTAATGCATGTTGGGTATTATAGGTGGAGCATGCTGATGGACAAAAAACAGAACAAGATACAAAACCCTGAATGCTAACAGACTACTGAGGCTGAGGGGTCCAATGCCGCATGCTACAGAATGCTATGTAACATGACAGATAAAATACTACAGGGAGATTCACTCGAAAGAGGCCCCGAATGTTCCTCTGTAACTCCCGTTAGGATGAAGCAATCTGAACCAAAATAACTACACCACATACCTTGACGTATGTGTAATCGATTGCATTACATGCGATGCTGGAAGTGATCTCCATTTTCTGCCAGACACTTGAAGGGGTAAGGGGGCTATACACCCAGAAGTTGCAAACGAAGGTTAAACGTCGTGAAGGCTGTCCGGTGCCTACCTCATCGCTCCGATGCAGGGGCATCCCAGCTTTATCGAAGCTCAATATACTGAGGAGCACATTGCACGTTGTTTCGTTCAGATTGCTTCATTCTAGCGAGAGTTATTACAGAATATTCGGGGCCTCTTTCAAGTGAATCTCCCTGTTTATGCTAGATGTGTGCCGGAATATTCCTTTAAGTTGCTCCTTCAGTTGAGTATGAAGTATTACTATGTATTAGCTGAAGAAATCAGACTGAAGTCATTTTTTGTTCAAGGGTTAGCTGTTAAGAATTAACATGAGTTGAACTTCAGGTTTACTTCATTATCTGGGCTCTGCTGTCAGGTCCACTGTAACATTCATTGAGCTGACTGTCATTGATCTAACATTTGTCTTTTAGGTTATTGAGCTTGATTTTGATCAGCTTCCTGAAGGAGATGAAGTCATCAGTATCCTTAAACAGGAGCACACACAGTTGCACATATGGATTGCACTTGCTGTAAGTTCTGCTGCTGCCTTCTTCTCTTTCTTTTTCTTTTTAAAGCCATTGTTTGTACCATAGTTGAAACAGTGCCATTGCTTTAAACTGACTGTGACCTTTCACAGCTGGAGTACTACAAACAGGGGAAGACGGAGGACTTCGTGAAGCTGCTGGAAGCAGCTCGCATCGACGGAAACCTCGACTACAGAGACCATGAGAAAGACCAGATGACCTGTCTGGACACTTTAGCCGCTTACTATGTGCAACAGGCACGCAAAGAGAAGAACAAAGATGCAAAGAAGGACCTCATCAACCAGTCCACCCTTCTGTACACCATGGCAGACAAGATCATCATGTATGATCAGGTAAAAACAGTGTTTTACACATGTCTATTTCAACACTGAGCATTGCTGATAGAGGCGTGGTTAGTGTTCACTTTCAGCAGAGGTTGAAGACAATATGTGTTTCTGTTTGTTTCAGAACCACTTGCTGGGGAGAGCCTGCTTTTGCCTGTTAGAAGGGGATAAAATGGATCAGGCAGATGCCCAGTTTCATTTTGTCTTGAACCAGTCCACAAACAACATCCCTGCACTGTTGGGTTAGTAAAGCTGGGTTGACATCACACATTGTTTGAAAGTCATATCAGAACCTCCTAACTCACAACTTTTTTAAAAAAAAATTACGCTATTTTAGAAAAGCGAGATGCATTTTACATGAATGGACCAATAGAAATGACCCCAAATTACTTAGAATTAAATCTTTTACATTAACATGCATTAAAATAAAAATATTTTTTTCTTCTCCTATAAAGCTTCATTCATTTCAGGGTTACCAGGTTTTGTTATGATTTTACAGTATACAGTACTGTGCAGAAGTATTAGGCACATACACCGATCAGGCATAACATTATGACCACCTCCTTGTTTCTACGCTCATTGTCCATTGACCACTGATGAAGGACTAGAGGATGAGGTCAGTGTTACTGCAGTGCTGAGAATGATCCACCACCCAAATAGTACCTGCTCTGTGAGGGTCCATGGGGGTCCTGACCACTGAAGAACAGGGTAAAAGGGGGCTGACAAAGTATGCAGAGAAACAGATGGACTACAGTCTGTAACTGTAGAACTACAAAGTGCACCTATATAGTAAGTGAAGCTGATAAAATGGACAGTGAGTGTAGAAACAAGGAGGTGGTCATAATGTTATGCCTGATTGGTGTAAGAAAAACTCTTCTAAACCCATTTATTTGGACAATAAATGCCTTTAAAAACATTAGAATAATAATAAACGCAGTAAAAAGTAACAAGGATTTCTTATTTTCCAAAATGCAATTAAGACATTTTGAGCTGGTTAGAAGAACAGTGTTTGGGTTCTGACCTTTTTTCATTGCCCCAGCCATTGAATGCATTTGCTCAAGTCCACCGCCAGCACACCTGGGGCTTGTATTCTTGCTTAGCCAGCTAACTTTACCGTAGTTCGATCTCACACTGGATTTTCAGTCTTTTAATATTGAATCAGTTTTTACCAAACTTCATTACCATGGCAACTTATGCTGCCTTCCTACCCTGCTCCAGGACCAGTTGTGGTTGGGATTTTGGATCATAAACAGATTTTGGGTCTTTTTTTTTTGTAGCATCAATCATATAAAAGAATGCTTTTCAGTGGAGAACACAAATCATACTTCATGGATATTAAGCATATACCAGTTGCTCCATTAAATGCTAATACAGAAACCTTTTTTGCAGTTATAAATGCTTTATTTCTACATATTTATGTAGTGTGTTTTCTGTCTTTTTTTCTTTGTTGAAAAACAGGCCACTTGACTCTGTTTTGTGCAGTTGGTGTAAGCATGACGTCTGAAATGTCATGCTTTCATATGCACTCACACTGTGACTAATCATGGTTTACGTATCTAAACTTAGGTTAACAGAAAAGGTTGTTAACTGTCATTGTAAAACTGAAACTCCATCAGAGACTTTGTGTAAGCTGAACGTGCTTCATGAGGTGGTGCTTTGATTTAACGAAGGATTCATGAGCCAAACTAAGTATTGGAGGAATTAATACTGGGTGCCGCAGGGAGAGTTTTGGAAGTGGCTAAGAGAACACACTGACATACATAACATGTTTGTGAATGATAGGTTGGTTCATATTTCCATTTGATAATAATTATTGCATTTTACCTTTGCAGGTAAGGCTTGCATTTCCTTCAACAAAAAAGATTACAGAGGAGCTTTGGCCTACTATAAAAAAGCGCTACGCACAAACCCAGGTTGTCCAGGTGAGCTCGGTGAATTACATCCCAACGTATGCATTTTGTTTTCTTATACTGTCTCGAGGTTAATGTTCTCTAATTCTTTCCTGTAGCTGAAGTGAGGCTTGGAATGGGCCACTGCTTTGTGAAGCTCAACAAACTGGAGAAAGCTCGTCTGGCTTTCAGCCGTGCCCTAGAGCTCAACTCGAAGTGTGTGGGGGCTCTGGTGGGTCTGGCTGTCCTAGAGCTCAACAACAAAGAGGCTGACTCCATCAAGAATGGAGTGCAGCTGCTCTCTAGAGCATACACCATTGACCCCAGCAACCCCATGGTGCTCAATCACCTTGCAAACCACTTTTTCTTCAAAAAGGTAAAGATATAATAGCCATGGTTAATTTTCATGTATGTTTTTTCATTCTGGAGACTTTAGACTTCACCTACATTCTGTGTTCTTTCAGGACTATAGCAAAGTACAGCACTTGGCTCTTCATGCATTTCACAACACTGAGGTAGAGGCCATGCAAGCAGAAAGCTGTTATCAGTTAGCCCGCTCTTTCCATGTTCAGGTAAGAGCAGAGTTCCCATATATTCAAAGCAGAACATGTTTGGTTTAAATTTCTTGGTGATTAAACCTTTTGCACCTTCACTACAGGAGGACTACGACCAGGCTTTTCAGTACTACTACCAGGCCACCCAGTTTGCCTCTTCCACCTTCGTCTTGCCATTCTTCGGCCTGGGCCAGATGTATGTGTATCGCAGAGACAAAGAAAACGCAGCTCAGTGCTTTGAGAAGGTCTTGAAGGCTTACCCCAATAACTACGAAACCATGAAAATCCTCGGGTCCCTTTATGCCGCCTCAGATGATCAGGAGAAAAGAGACATTGCCAAAGTATGTCTTGGTGTCTACGGGTAATATGTTGTTCACTTTTTATCTTAAAATGAAGCAAATCAATTACACATTCCCTTTTTTGTATTTTTGAATATTTTAGGGCCATCTGAAGAAAGTCACTGAGCAGTATCCTGATGATGTAGAAGCTTGGATTGAGCTCGCACAGATTCTTGAACAGACAGACATTCAGGTAAGATGGGTGTTCACAATCATGCAAAAGTCTGGAAGCAATATTAACAATTTTTATTTGATGTTTAATAATAATTTCACTTTAAATGTCACAAACTTAACCCTATTTTAGATGTTTTATTAAATTTGTAAAGAATTCTGTGAGCAAGAACTTATTAAAAGTTTAACTAACCTTTCTTAGTGTTTGGTGAGTAAACCTCAGTGCTCTAGGTTTGTCTTCCACTTGGGAGAGTCGCTTGTCGGTTTTTTCATTATTTGTTTTATCTTAGCATCCTTTAACACCTCCAGGGTATTGATTGAAATTTTTTTTGGAACACTAATGTGAAAAAATTTCCCATGAATACAGTGTTCAGTTGATGTCACACATTTCGCTGCTGCCGTGTTGTTGACACACCACTGCTTTACACAGAGAAAACAGCGGCTCTCATAGAGCAACTGCTTGTACGGTGTTAGTCAATTAAGCATCACTGACAGATAAAATATAGCCATGATGTCTTGCGTAATTCATAGTCGTAGGAACAACAGCAAGAAAAATAAGATAATGTAGGCTAAGCTTTTATAGTATCAGGCTGTTTGACGTTATGAGGGATAGGAGACAGAAGAGCTGAGCCAGAGAAGGAGAATTCAGTGGGTAGTGAGAATAAACAGGAGAAACTTTCAGCTTCCCATACCAAAGTCTACACTCATCACTTTGTCACAAGTAGACTGTTAGATAAGGGATGAATTCTGTTTAGCCGATTCTGTTTCGCTCCATTTATCATCGTTCATCTTTGCGGCTTCATTCTTCATCTAAAATTGCTTAATGTGTCTTAAGAATTATGTTTAAATTGCACAGGACAAGCAATGAATGCAGTTAATGCCAGAATAATAATTAGCAGTGCTCACTTAAGCTAATGTCAAGTTAACCCATCAAGCATAGTTATGTAGCTATTAATTATGTTCACGATCTCAACAGTGTTCACTGTTGTAGTTGATGGTAAGAAAGACTTTTTATTGCTGACCCTTCCACAAAATAAGGAAATAATTAATAAAAAAAAGATAATCTAGTGATTTATATGTCTTTAGCTCCTGTGATGTGAATGTTGATACAGCATTTATGGTAATTATAGATGTCTGGTTTTGTTATTATGGGCAATAACGCATAATCGTGACGATAACTTATCAGTTTATAAAGATAAATTATCACCTCAGACAACATTATGGCCACTTCAGAATGTCAACAGTAAGGCCACAGGATGCTTTTTCTAGGTTCTGCAAATACTGTCCATACAGGCTGACATTTTAGTTGTCAGTAGAGTTGTGCTGTCAGTTTTTCCTGAGATGGAAAAAAAGATATGTGCTATGTGATTAAAAAAGCACAAGATATGTGCTTTTTGTCAAGTTGTTTGCTTTATCATGAATTCTGGATGTTAATTTTTAAAATATATTAAACTTTTAAATTTTATTAAACAGCTTTATCAGTCATTTAAAATCTTCTTTGGCTGCATTTATCATCGTTCATCTTAGCGACTTCATTCTTCATCTACAATTTCTATAATGTGTCTTAATAATTATTTAAATTGCACAGGACAAGCATATGAGCACTTTTGAACAGCAGTTGCATTTTAAATTGTAGTATACACTGATCAGGCATAACATTATGACCTTGTTTCTACACTCATTGTCCATTTTATCAGCTCCACTTACTGTATAGGTGCACTTTGTAGTTCTACAGTTACAGACTGTAGTCCATCTGTTTCTCTGCATACTCCAGCAGTGCTGCTGTGTCTGATCCACTTGCACCAGCACAGCACACACTAACACACCACCATCATATCAGTGTCACTGCAGTGCTAAGAATGATCTACCACCCAAATAGTACCTGCTCTGTGAGGGTCCATGGGGGTCCTGACCACTGAAGAACAGGGTAAAAGGGGGCTAACAAAGTATGCAGAGAAACAGATGGACTACAGTCTGTAACTGTAGAACTACAAAGTGCACCTATATAATAAGTGGAGCTGATAAAATGGACAATGAGCGTAGAAACAACGTGGTCATAATGTTATGCCTGATCGGTGTATTTATTTGGGGCTTATAATTTGCTTGGTTTGCTATTTCTGTTACAAATATCTTCTGATCCTAATTCTCCTCCCCCTTCCAGGGTGCTCTGTCTGCATATGGCACAGCCACAAGAATCCTCCAGGAGAAGGTGCAAGCTGATGTGCCTCCTGAGATCCTCAACAATCTGGGGGCTTTGCACTTCAGACTGGGGAATCTTGGGGAAGCAAAGGTAAAACTGACGACTGATTAAACATGACAGCTTTTTACTTTATAAAGACCTGATACTAACAGGGCTGCAAGGCTGGGATCATCGGATAACTCGGCACTTTCCAATTGTTCATTATAGAAATACTTCTTGGCTTCTCTGGAGAGGGCCAAAGCTGAGGGCGAACATGACGAGCACTACTATAATGCCATTTCCGTCACCACATCTTACAACCTGGCCCGACTCTATGAGGCAATGTGTGAGTTCCACGAGGCTGAGAAGCTATATAAGAACATCCTGAGGGAACATCCTAACTACGTGGACTGTAAGGAAGCTAATAAACTGTACACTTCAAAGATAACACTTTCTTTTAATATGAAAGATTTAGTGAAATACTTATTTTGTCATGTTTAATAGGTTACTTGCGTCTTGGAGCCATGGCCCGTGACAAAGGCAACTTCTATGAAGCCTCAGACTGGTTCAAAGAAGCTCTTCAGATCAACCAGGTAGTTACTGTTTTTGTAATTATTACTTTCTTGTAATTTTTGTTCTTTGAGAGCTTCGATCACACAATTATGTTTTGCAGGATCACCCGGATGCTTGGTCCCTGATTGGAAATCTCCACTTGGCCAAGCAGGAGTGGGGTCCAGGCCAGAAGAAGTTTGAACGCATCCTGAAGCAGCCGTCCACTCAGAACGATACCTATTCCATGCTGGCGCTGGGCAATGTTTGGCTTCAGACGCTGCACCAGCCCACAAGGGATCGGGAAAAGGTGCTTGATGATTTATTTATTTATTTTTTTTTTTCTGTTAATTTAGTGAATGTAACTTCCAGCCTTGTCAAAATGACATTCCAATCTTACCAACTCATCCATGTCTTTTCCATGTGACAGGAAAAGAGACATCAGGATAGAGCTCTAGCGATTTATAAGCAGGTCCTGAGGAATGATTCCAAGAATCTATATGCTGCCAATGGCATAGGTATGCGGCAAGTTTATGTTCAGTATGTTCATAAATAAGGTGACAGTAAATGCTACAAACATTTTCTTCAGTTGCCCAGTGATTCTGTTGTCCTTGAGGAGATTTCATGAGAACTTTAGGAGTTTTAAACATATTTTTTTCTCTCATTACAGTCTTTCTCCTTTTCCTCTTTTTCAGAACTGATACTTAATGTTTACTATTTTTAACACAGGGGCTGTTTTGGCCCACAAGGGCTATTTCCGTGAGGCACGTGATGTATTCGCCCAAGTCAGGGAGGCAACTGCTGATATCAGTGATGTCTGGCTGAACTTGGCACACATTTACGTGGAGCAGAAACAGTACATCAGTGCTGTGCAGATGGTGAGAGTCTGAGAAAACAAATACGACTGTATTGATGAGGATAAGAAAGCCTACAGCTGCTCCTGTCTGTCCTCATGACTTGTTGTTTTTGTGTTTTCAGTACGAGAACTGCCTGAAGAAGTTCTATAAGTACCAGAACACAGAAGTGTTACTTTATCTCGCGCGAGCGCTCTTTAAGTGTGGAAAGCTGCAGGAGTGTAAACAGATGTTGCTGAGGGTGGGTAAACAAATTGGTCAGAGTCATGTGGAAAACTATGATTGAACATCTGTGAAGTCTTTTTCCACTTTTTGTAATCTCCTTTCCTCTTCACTGTGGGTCACCAGGCTCGCCATGTGGCCCCCAGCGACACGGTGTTGATGTTCAACGTGGCTCTAGTGCTGCAGAGGTTGGCCACACTGGTGTTGAAGGATGAGAAGAGCAACCTGAAAGCTGTGCTGAGTGCGGTGAAGGAGCTGGAGCTGGCCCACAGGTGGGTTGGCTGCTTAGCTCACCCCAAGTGTCTGCAACACGTCCGTTGTAGACTTATTTAGGACACTTCCATAATTCTAACATGTCCCTCTCTGCTCACACAGGTACTTCAGCTATCTCAGTAAGGCAGGAGACAAGATGAGGTTCGACCTAGCACTTGCATCGAGTGAAGCAAGGTGGGTTCACATGATGTAGTCATTATGGTTTAGTAGTTGTATGTAGCTCAGTTTTCTTGACCTGGCTTTAGTTTAAATCAGAGCTTCCCAAAATGAGGCCTGCTGGCCAAAGTGGGCCTGTGAGGCCATTTGATTTGGCTCTCAAGAAAGTTTCCCCAACTCTGCCCCATTGCTTACCATGAGAGAACAAACGTTTTTAGAGTATAAATAGTGTTGTGTACAAAAGTTTGGGCACCCCTGGTGAAATGATTTGTTGATTTTCCCCTATGTGAAAGAAAAGTTAACACACTCTATACCAAGAACACATATTTTAGTGCATTACTGTTTATTTGTTGAATTTAATTTACTGAAAGAAAAAAAAAAACTAAAATGTGGCCTGTGCAAGAGTTAGGGTACACATTAATTGTGTTAAACTGTTAAAAATTGAAATTGTGCACAAACATTTGCAGAAAATGGCATATTTAAGTTTCATACTTGTAGAGGATTTGTTAACATCAACAAAACATGGAATTTAGTAAATGTTGAAGTTACATATGAAATGTTATGAAGTTACATACTCTATTTGAAATCTACCTACCCCTCATTGGTTTACTGTATTGTAGTCAGTTAGCTTTTGCAACAAGTAAGCAAATAAAGAAAGCTTATGACCACCAATTAGCATAGTCAGAATTATTTTGCGTAGCTATATAGCATTTGGGCAACCCGAGTGTTAAGAAGAGCCATTTTGTCCTTTTGTTAAAAATCAAACCACCTTGGGAGCCACAACATTTTATGTCCATTTCACCATCTTGGCTGTAAATTTGTCTCAGTATGTGATAAGGTGCTGGTATAGGCTAAAAATATAAACGAAAATGCAGACTTCCTTTGCTCTGCTTTAAGCTTTAGCTCATCTATAGCTGCTTTTCTCACATCTCCGGCAGGAACCATTTCCGCAAGAATGGAGTAGTTTCTTGTAAAATGTCTCTCAACGTTTGATTTTCATGAGGCTGAAGTTGCTTCTTATTCGCCAGCTTCTTGTTCAAATTTTCCCGTTCCACCTTAAATGCCACCTGACGCACTGGAATGTAACTGTTGCAGCATTACAGGTGGAACGGGAGAATTCAAGTTAGAAGCTGGCGAACGAGAAATTGACAGCTTTGCGACTTTTTAGTGTTTGAGGGTTTCAAGTTGCAGATTAAGCATATCAGAAAACCAGCTGGGATGATTATAATAATAATAAGTCCATTCGTCTCCAAATTGTTGGCGTTTAACTTAAATCTTTCTTATATCTTATATCCTTCTGTTTGCATTTCATTAGCTACTAGCTAGGATAAATGGTGATATTAAACTATTGCTTTAGGAAGACAGGTTTGTTCCAGCTCATTGATATTACGGTTATGTCCTTGATCAAAGCACTTAACCCCAACTTCTTAGAGCAAACTTGACATGATGCATGTATTGCCCTTCCAGGCAGTGCTCTGACTTGCTAAGCCAGGCACAGTACCATGTGGCTCGGGCCCGTAAGCAGGACGAGGAAGAGAAGGAGCTGCGGGCAAAGCAGGACCAGGAGCGGGAATTACTGAGGCAGCAGATGCAGCGTGAACAGGAGGAGAAGAAGGTCAAAGAGGCCGAGGAGCAGAAGAAGCTGCAGGAGCAGAGAGCTCAGTTTGTGGAGAAGACCAAGAACCTCCTCTCCTTCACTGAAGAAGTAAAAGAGTCTGCAAAAGAGAAGAAGAAGGGAGGCGGTGGGCGGGTGAGTGTCTGTAGGGTCCTCGGAGTGTCTTGTGTGGATTGTATTTAGAGGATGGAACGGTCCTGTAAACGTTGTTTGTATTTTTCAGCGCAAGAAAGGAGCAGACTATGATGACTTTGTTAACGATGACTCTGATGAAGATCTGCCTGTGAAGAAGAAGAAAAAGAAGAAGCCTCGCAGTGGCAGCGAACAGGAGGAAGAAGGCGAAGAGGGTGAGAAGAAACCACGCAAGAAAAGGAGGAGGTGAGGACTCTTGGGAGACGTGTGTATGTGTGTATGTTTGTATTCATTTGGTTAGAACTCTATGTTGACCATGCTTCTGTTACTGTATCTGTAGACCAGCTAAGGGTGGAGATGAGGAGAGTGATGAGGAAGGAGGCTCAAGACCTAAGAAACAGCGTAAACCCAGAGAGCGCAAGAGGATTGAGAAGGTACAGACCTCATTCCACATAGTGACTGTGGTTATTCTGTGTGAATATTCTAAATTAGGACCCAGTGCTAACTATGCTTTTCTCCTCGTAGCCCAAACCTGAGCGCATGCCACCGTCTCTTAAAGGGAAGATCAAATCTAAAGCTATTATTTCCTCCTCGGAGTCCTCGTCTGATGAGGATGGCCTGAAAATCGCAGAGGATAGGTAGGTGTTGTATTAATTGTTTTGATCATTCGGGATGTTTCGATCTTTTGTGAAGTTTTAATATTGAATATCTGCTGATACTCATTCCTGCTTCAGTATATTTTGCGTATAATACAGCCGCACGGCACATTAAAGTTAGTCCGTGTGTAATTTACTTTAAAAGTATTTAAAAAGTACTTGTAAAGTACTTTAAAAGTACTTTACTACTAAGTGTGTAATTTACATACCCTTGGTTTAACTGTTTTGACGAAAGGGTAGCTTAACTGCATTTAAAACATTGCAAGCATTGCAGGGGTTTCAAATGGCTTTTGAGGTGTTTCAATTTACACTTTAAAATAGTTTCTCAATATAAACATTCATACAGCTTGTTAACTTCTAAAAATGTGCCTCACTGCTGCAAATTGTGAATTATAGCTGTTTGTTACCTCAATGAGAGCTGCATAAATAGGCCTGTCACAAGTGTTCCATAATTGGCTAATTGCAATTATTTAAGCTGATGTCAGTCCTTTTCCACAGTTGCTACATTTCAGTCATCTGGAGCTGGGTGATATGGCCAAAAAGGTTATCACGATAAAAAATTTCATATGAGTCAATATCGCGATAAATGTCAAAAGATTTTCTTTATATTTGGCGACTCTTTTTAGTCGCTCCTCCCTCTCTAATCATGTTGTAAAATTCGTAAGTGCGCCCTCTCGTGGCGACAGCAGAGTAGTGTCGCTTTCCTTGCAGTAGAAAACGCCACCACGGCTGTCGCCAGAACGTGGAACTGTGAGAATGCTCTGTTATACTGAAAATGTATTGAACATTTCTTATAGTTCTATCAAGGGAAGTTGTATCGCGATAATTATTGTTTATCGTTTTATCACCCAGCCCTAGCTAAAGCTAACAAAATCAATTTGGAGACAAATGGACATTATTATTATTATTATTATTATTATTATTATTACTCCAGCTGGTTTCCTGATACGTTTAATCTGCAACTTGAAACTATCAAACACTAAAGTCTCAAAGCTGTCAATTTCTCGCTCGCCAGCTCCTGTTCCACCTTAAATGCTGCACTTTTAGGCTTGTAATGTAATTGTTGCGAACAGTGAACCAAAAAAATATCGATCACAATTATTCATGACAATTAAAATACAGCTAATTTTCATTATGACAGCCGTAGGCATAAATACCCAACAGTGTTGTAAAATTGCATCTATAACACAATGTTATTTAGATAAATGTGATTTAGGTTTCACATAATGCTTTACAGATCTGAACGTCAAATATGTTGAAATTCCTATCCCTAAAATTGGATCGGCTTAATAACACCAATGCTGATCCACCATATAATGCCTCAGTTACGATACTAATCTTTCAGATTAGACCGAGAGATTCCAATTGATCAGTTGATCACGTCTTTGCAACGAGCTCGTTTATAGTCTTAACTCCGGGTTGCTTTCTGCCTCAGGAACCCACAGGACAGTGGTTCCGGCTCGGACGACGGAGGCCACCGGAAGCGCATCGCTTCCGACAGCGAGTCGGACGGAGAGCGAAACCGTTCGGGCAGCGAGGGCGGCAGCCCCCGGCGCTCTGCAAACTCTGATGAAGACGAGTCCGGCAGCGAGCGGCCAGTGAAGAGGAAGAGACCACGGCCGCAGTCAGACTCGGAGCAGTCGGACAACGAGAGCAAGAGGAGCCGGTCAGAGGGATCAGAGGACGAGTCTCGGCCTGCGTCTCCAGCAGCAGTGTCGGATCAGGGCTCGGACAACGAGGGATCACCGCAGCGGTCAGACAACGAGTCCGAACCTGAGGGATCCAACAACGAGGCCTCCAATCGAGGCTCTGATGATGAAAGTGACTAAGTTTGTTGATACAGAAGAAATAAATGCGCGTTGGTCCGTGACGTGAGTCCTGGAGGTGTTTCTCAAAGCAGGGTTTCACAGTTAGCTGGATCATTTAAGCAAGAGTTGCCCAGTAGAAACATCCCTCATCTCCACTCCTATTGGTTGCTTGATTTTGGGCTTAATTTTTCTGGCTAACGGAGAAAATCTTCCTTTGTTAAATAGTCCCATGTGAGTGAGTCATTGTCATTTTTTTTTCACCTCTACCACCTTAGCTGTTATGACTGTCTTCTCTTTGTTTTTGACGCAATTTGATGCTTTAGTGACTTTTCTTCAGAGTAGCTGGTCATTTATTATTTTGGTGGGGGGAGAAAGAATCACTTTGTTTTGAGTAAAACTGCAAAACCTACAGAACAATCCCAGTTGTGCTTCTCATCACTTGGTGCATATATCGAAGTAAACCAGGTTGGTGCACAAATATTTGGAATAAAGAATCCAGTACAAGATGTACATTTATAAACTGTGTTGGAATAATAAAGAAAAAAATACATTTTTCAGAAGCTCTCACTCTTTCTGTACTTATCATACACTTAGTAAAACAGATTATGCATTATTTAAGCAATAGAACATGAAGGGAGTGTGTTATCGTAAAATAACATCACGGCTGTGATTTGGCCGCAGGCACGAGCCGAAGGCGATAACACACACCCTCGAGTGTTCTATCGCTTTTATACAACAGTTAAATAAATAAAGTAATAAATTAATAAACTGGGCCGTGAACGCGGCGTTTAATATGTTTTAATGTTCGCAGTTCCTTCCGCCAAATTAGTTCCTGAATAGTTCCTTAACAAGCAGGTTTTCAGTCGACAGCTGTGACAGAAGAACAGCTAAACAACCTGGAGTCAACCAGAAATTAACCGAACGTGTAGTCTGATCTTTAGAGTCTGACCAAATCAGACTGAGCCATAACACTGCTGCAATATCAAGTTCAGCTCAGTTTTGTCAGTTTTTGCCAGATCAGTATTAATGTTGTTTTGTTCCAGCCAGTCTGTAAAGCATCTTACAGCCCATTTAGTTTGGCGAATGGTGTTGGGTTCATTTCTGGCTGATTCCAGGTTGTTTAGCTGTTCTTCTGTCTCAGCTGCCGACTGAAAAGCTGCTCAGTGGTGATGACAGTTTGGGAATTTAGTGTCGTCTCATCTTCAGAGTCTGACCAAATCGGCTGTCGGTCAAATGTGATCTTGAGAGTGTCCATTTTCTGTTTGTGGCAAAGTAAGAAGTGAAAACGTTCAAACGGTTTGAGCGTCTCCTACAGCTGTCAAAGTCGTTGCTTAGCAACGGCATCTCAGCCAAGTGATAGTGATTAGAACGCTTCTTAATCAATAAGCTTGCGTGGCCGGAACTAACCGTATAAAGTGTACTTAATGATGTCAAATGCTTTCACATTGTATTTTCAAATGAAGTGATAATAGTTTTTGACATCATTGCAAGATTTTGTTCTTGAGTCTGTATAGAGGTGGAAGGTCAGAGTGTGACTGTAAAGTTGGTATGTTTGTAGTGCACAGGTCTTTCAGAGTGTTTTGATATGAAATGTGCCTTTCTAGGTCAAATTTCTAAATCAGGATTGTTCCCAGTGGTGATGGGAACCGGACATCTGAAGAGTCTGTTGCTTGAGACTTTCTTTCACAGTAGTTTTGAGGTGGCGGAAAGATACTCAGAGCACAGTAAGGCACAGTAGTACCTAGAAAATGATCAACGTTGCATATCGCTGCTGTCAGAACAAAACCTTGTTTCTCCAATTTTTCAGTTTTTGCCATAATCAGAAAAAGCCTGTTGCCCTTCACTTTGTGTGTAAATTTCACAATGAATGGACAAAAAGAAATGGCCCAAAACGACTTGGACATAATTCTGGTTCCATTGACTTTAAAAGTGACTTTAAAAGACATTAAAAGTAAAGCTTGTTTTTTGCTTCTCCTGTAAAGTTACTATTTTGGAAATATGAGGTTTTGTTCCGACAGCAGTGATATAAAAACTCAGATGTGTTTGGTTTAAAAGCCATTTTTGATAATATATGGCTATATTTGCATGGCAGAGATGGTGATGCTCGGTTCCCATCACCTCTATTGTGAAAAATCCTGTTTCTTTGCACTGAACCAATTCACATCAAACCTCTCTGCCTTTGTTTACATCTCGAATTGTATGGCTAATGTCACCAAACAGCACTGGTAGTTTCTACCGAACAGCAGAGTGAAATAACTAATACGTAGTGAAGGAGGACGTGCCAGGTTTGCTTCTAACAGAGACAAAGTTTGTGTTGAGTCCAAAGCTGTGGCAGAATATTTTAAACAAGGAAACCTTCTGGAAGGAAGACCTGTTGTCAATAGTTGCCCCAACAAGATCTGTGTTTCATTGGTGTTAGATAAGATTTATGACCAGGTACTGAACTCTTAGAACTGTGGAAGAAACTATCAGGGTCCAGTGAGTCACCTTGTATTTTGGTTTCTGCACCTTTTGAGGAACACAAAGAAACCTCCACTTGGCTGGCTCCCAGCTGTCCCACATAGTGGGCCTGTTCTTTCGAAAGAAAAGGTACTCTGGAAACAACGGGAGCCAAACACCATAATGTTTCCATGTTGCTAAGGCTTTTCATTATTTTTATACCCTCTATTTACTCCAACAAACTGCTTTTAGCTCAAGTATCTACAGCAGGAACAGGGATGTTTATGTCTTACAGCCAAACATCAGATATTGGCCTAACGGCCTGCTATTGTAAGCTTTTTCATCACAGAAGGGTGACCAAAGCTCTCTTGACCTTTCTATTCACATAGACTTAATCTATGACCACACATACAAAAGCCCACTGAATCCTGGTGTGTAACTTTATTGAAAGTTAAGCAATAGTGGTACACAGAACATTCTGAGCTTTTACATCTTACAGTAACACTTTAAATAGCAGGTAATTCATTGTACAGATGTATGCATCAAGTTTTATTGTTCTACCTAGAGATAAAGCATCAATTGATTCTTTCATAAGGTTCAATAAATAGGTATTAGATATTATGGCAAAACATTGTTAGGTTCACAAAGTAAATGGTTGGCAATTCCAAATTTCAGATGTCAATACTCATTTCTTTAACTTTATTTCACCAATTAAAAGTCTTCAATCTAAAAATTCATGTTTACACATTGCTGTTTCAAAAGTTGTTGCATCTGAACAGGCCATGTCTGGTAATCCCTGAACATGCTGTAAAGAAAAGATTTTCAAGTATCAAAAGTTTGACAAGTAATGGAGGGGACAAACATGGGTTGATTTAAAATCGTATAACCATTTCTCCCACATGGCTTTCCATTAAAGGGGTTTGGGGTGGGGGAGTGGGGAGCCACCTTAATCAGATTGTAGCAAATAAAAATAAACCATGATTTTTCTATCACAGGCTTGGAGAGTATTTTCCTCCATTTGAGGAGGGATTAAATTCAACCCAGCAGACTAAACCCATTACTAAAGAGGTAGAAACAAACCGACTTAAAACGTATGGTTTCCACTGATTACAGTTATGGATCCTTTGTAACAATCATGGGAGCGTATTGCAACAACTCATGACACTTAGCACATAGTGCATTTCTACAGTTGTGTTATAGAGTGAACAGCAGCTGGAAAGGTTCTTGCAAATACATGGTTTTTAAAAGGCCAAAAATAAGTAGTTTCAAGCTGCTAATACCATTTCGTAGGTGGTTCATAATCAGTAAACCATTACATGCCTTATGATGAAAGCGGGGGGGGCGCACCAAAAAAGGCACCAAAAAAAACAAAAAACAAAACAACCAACAACAGTACTGCAGACTGAAGTTCAGTAATCGAGAATGCAGGTCATTGAAGCATTGTTGTACAACAAAAAGGAGAAGGTGTGGAGGGAAGAGGGTGAACACACAGTAGGTTAAGAGAAAAAAAAACAAAAAAAAAAAAAACACAATTACATCTTTGCACCGTAAGGCTTTGGCTGGTTTCTTAGTCAGCCTCCTCCTCAGACTCCTCTTCTTCAGCTGTTTCCAACCAGGTAAGCCACTGGTTCACCTAAATGAGAACAAGTCAGAATAGGTTTAGGTGTCTAACATACAGAGACTGGTCATAAATACAGGGAGATTCACTCGAAAGAGCCCTGAATATCCTGTAATAACTCTCGCTAGGATGAAGCAATCGGAACAAAACCATTGTGCAATGTGCTCCTCGGTATATGGAGCTTCGAATGAGCTGGGATGCCCCTGCGTCGGAGTGATGAGGTAGGCGCCATCGCCATGTTTAACCTCTCTAATGCTTGTCGATACATGCAGGAACATGGAGTGCCACATCGGAATGTGTCTGGCAGAAAATGGAGATCACTCCCAGCACTGCATGTAATGCAATCGATTACACATACGTCAAGGTACGTAGTGTATTTTTTTGGTTCGGATTGCTTCATCCTAACGGGAGTTACAACAGAATATTCGGGGCCTCTTTCGAGTGAATCTCCCTGTATGTATTCAAATTACAACATGCACCAAGAGTACCTGGAACAATGCTTTTCCTTTGCCAGGAAACTCTTGGGTAATATCTTCTTTCCATGCAAGGAAGGCTTCTTCTTCAATTATCTCCATATCATAAAAGTTGACAAAGTAGCGCAGTAACATTCCTGGAAGAGAAACACATTGTTATCCAATTAGCCTAAAGATACAAGGCCCCCACACACACACAAAAAAAAATAATAATAATAATAAAATAATAATAATAATAATAATAATAATATCCCCACAGACCACAGTATTAAAGCTGCATTCAAGCATATACCTTTGGGAAAAGCCTTGGTATTGCAGTGCACTTGCAGCGCATACAGAGCACTGACTTGCAGGTCCACGTGATCATGCAGGAATTTTTGCATCACCGGTTTGAAGGCAAGTAGCAGCTGCTTCTCCTGGTCAAGCTGTTCTTTAGAAGGTGCTGATAACTGGTCGTCTCCGTCGTTGGAATACATCTCGTGGAATATGTACTGCAAAAAGCTGAAGCAGAGAGAGTAAAATGAGTGGATAGTGCAAGTGACTATAAATAGTAATGAATGAATAGGTTACGTATCAGCATCATACCTCGTCATCAGAATGTTGACAAAACCTTTGTCGGTGTGAAGCTTGGGAGAAATGTTGTCCTTGATCCACTTGTAGATGGACTGGGGAGCTGGATCAGCTTTGATCTGCTTCAGAAGCTCCTTCTCCAATTTCATGAGGGGGAACAAGAAGCTCAGGCCCTTCCCCTCCAAAATTTCCAACATGCGGTCTTTGTTTTGGTCTATTTCTGTGAACAGAAGACATGGTCAACGCGAGTTTCATTCCAAAACACCATACGCCCATTTTAGCAATTAGTGATACAAGTTTTTGAAAAGAACAGCTAATGAAGGTGTTTTTTTTTTCTTTAATAAAAGGTGGTGTTAATCATAAAACAGCATTATTTGGTATGTGTAAATCTCACTACCAACACCACATCATGGGAACAAGGGAGAAAAAGGTCTGGTGCAACCCTTCAAATAAAATATTCATTCATAAATTAAATAAATACATTAAGACCACAGAAAAGTGGCTCCACAATAAACTACGTTCTGAATACTTGTGTGCATGCATAACAAAGCAGAGATGAACATGTACCTGGCAGCATCTTCTGCATGTTGACCTTGCTCTGCTGAAACAGATCGGTCAGCCACTCCTTATCCCTCAGCTTAGCTGTTTGCTGAAGACAGAGCAAGAAAAGAGGAAAGTGGGTGCCGTTCTCCAGAGGGTGGGCCAAGTCCGCAATGCTCATGAGCTCAGCAATGATTGCACGGGCAGCAAACTGTGCCAGATAGGACTTCACCAGGGGAATGTCACCCTCAAGCTTAGGACACTGGTCCAAAACGTTAAGGAATGCCTGCGAACACACAAGATAGCTTGTTTTAAAACAAGAACCACTAAAAAGTGACTCTGAAACAAAGTTGGCGCCTCACACACCTGCATGAAGTTCTCCCCTGTAATCAGCCCCTCACTACGGAGTGCATGGATCAGACTGCTGACGTGCTCTTTATCGTCATCTGGACAGTCCAGCGAGCAGACAATGATCTTGCTCAACATCTCTGGCAGGAAGTGTTTGGGAGCCTTCATCTCCCTCACTCCATTCACAGCATCACTGATGTTCTTGCTATTCAGATAGTCGTTCATAACTGTCTCCTGAAAAGTAAGTGTTTAAACCTTTAGTCTACTCATTTAGACATGCAGTATTTTACGCTTTGAATATAAATTAGGAAAATATGCATACAGTCATCTTAAGCAGCTCCTCTTTGGCAGGAGGTGGTTTTTTGTTTGTCTTCTGAGGCTTCTCCTGAATGGGAGGAGGATTGGTTTTCAGGCCAAGCTGTGGTGGCTACAGTAAGCAAGGGAACAGCTTTAAAAGCAGCACAAAAAGTCAGCAATGCCATGTGTACAAGAAGTTATATGAACAGTTTTACCTGTCCAAGCGGAGGAGTGGATGTGCGTGGGGGTTGAGCACTGGGAGGAATCATGGTGGGTATCTGCGGCTGCAGCTTTGGCACTTGGGTTTTGTTCAGAAGAAATGACTGAGCAGGTCTCAGGCTAATCTGCAAGGGAAAAGTAGAAGGATTAGTCAACTCTTTACAAAATAACTGCATCCTCTGCCCTGAAATTTAGACCAAAATACAAACAAACCTCATCAGCATTCAACTGTCCTTTCTTGGTGAATCGTGGTGGCATATCCTTGGACTGAGCTTGCTGTTGAGCTTGGTTCTGGAAAAGCAGATTCTGCCCCTTTGGAAACAAAAGGGCAAATCAGACACCAACACACATACTGGGTTTACAGATATGAACGTTTGCATGCACACCCATGTCAATAAAAGGTCAGCCAGTTACCTGGTTGGGTTTCATGAAAGGCTTGTCGAACTGAGACTGGGAAGCAGGAGCTATGTGGCCGCCATGGCCGTTGAAGAGCGGGTTTACACGGTGACGGCCCATGGTGGGGGAATACCTGTCTTGTATAACCCCAGGTCCAGTTCCAATCCCGCTACCTAATATCAGGTAATAAGAAACACTTCAATTTTTCATGCAATAAATATTCTGCCTCTTAAACTACAGAGAAAACACCAGTGAGAGGGACACTAAGGTCAGGACGTACCCGGCATTTGTCCGAACATATCAGCTAACCCTCCAAGGGTCTCTCTGCTCATCCTTGTTGGCATGAAGGGGTTATCTTGAAAGAAGTCAGTCCTCATTCCTGAGGTCATCGCTGGAATAAACACACCCAAATCCTGAAAGAAAGCAAAAAAAAATTAAATAAATAAAAAAATATATATATAATAACAGTAAAACAATGCATAGATTTAACAGGAAAAAAAAAAACAGACAGATAGACAGAAATAGGAAGAGAACACTAGCCTTTACTGCGTCCTGGCGGATCTGGTTGATAGTCTTAGGTCCATTATCAATAAAAGCTTTCCTAGGCACCCAGTTGTTCTCTCGCAGCTCTACAGTATCCTGCAGCAGGAAACGAATCCTTGCAGGCAAGTCCTTGTTGTTCATTAAGGATCGCATGCGGCCAAAGTACTGATCCATTAAAGACTGCAAGGGAAAATAAGTGGTGTTTAAATAAACCAAGTGTGCAGTTGAGTAAAGGAAGGGAGAAAACTACAGGCTGTTTTTAACCACACCTTACATAACAATCAAAAATCACCTTGGCTTTCTCGTGATCAAGTCTAGGCCCCACAGTTCTCATTATCTGACAGAGGCACTCCAAATCCTCCCCCATATCTTTAAGTTGGATTCTTTTCTTCTTTTCCAGAAGCTGAAACAAACAAGTTTGATAAGCACTTTGAATAAAATAAATTATACATACATATATACACACACACACACACACACACACACACACACACACATATACACACAAAAAAAGAAAATGAAGTTTTCAACTTACTGTTTTGATGCACTTATGAAGGATAGACTCATGAATGAGATCAAGTTTGCCAAGCTCTCCAATGAATTTGATGTTGCCCAGCATTTTGATCTTGGCAATGGCACGCTGCTCCTCTTCTTCAGAGGTAAGAGGGCCATCGTTTTTGTCGTAGACTGTAAAAGAAAGAAAAGCAGTCATCATAAATTTCTGTATATTAACCATAAGAGAAAAACACAACATAAGCTGTTTTTGACCGTTAACTCACTTTCAACATTTCTGGTGCGGTTTTCAAATTCATCTTGAAGCTTTGATATCAGAAGTCTCCTGAATGTCTGCAAACAACAGTAGACAAGCTAATTAATCTCTCAAAACGTCAAACAATCAAGAGTTAAGCACAACACCAGTGAGTGTTTCTTCCAAATACTTACAGTGCTCTGCTTTTGTGATGACTGGATCTCAGGTGATTGGTTGTCAAAGTTTGGTGCATCCTCTGCCAAACGCAGACATAGCTGAGCATATAGCGAGCTATACTTGGGCTCTTCGAGGGCTTTGTCTACAATCTATTGGAAATGGAATGGTAGATAAAGCATGAAGGATCTCTAGCCCAGAAAATAAAACCCAAACAGAAAACTCCTCTTAACACCCGTTTAGAACGGCTACTGAGAAAAAGTGGGCGAAGAGTGTGACTATGATTCTCACCAGCAAGATGATTCCTTTGAGGACGAGCTTTGAATCCACGCCCACATTCAGAAGCTCAAGGCATAGCTTGTCAAACTTCTCAGGGGTCAGTTTATTAAGTATGCTGAGGACAAAAAAAAAAAATAGCAATAAACAAATGTTCTCTAAAACAGCACAAGTGAACTACACATCCTGAACAGTGAAAATAACTCAGAACGTGGACCCTACCCTCTCACTTTCCTGAAGATTGCATCGTGTCGTTCTTTTTCATTGGAGGAGCTGACCTCTCGTCTAGTGCTTCGTGAAGGAACCCATCTCTGAACGCTAGGCCCTGGGGTTTTCCCCAGGAACTCGCTGTGGAGGAAAAACAAAGAGCAGCTTAATGAAAGCAACACAACGTTACTCTATTCTGGACATGCAGCCCTGAACACTGGAACAAAAACCAGAGCTCCTACACTAAACTAAAGAACAACCAGAAAAGCATGCCAACACAGATTAACCGTACCTGTTGCCGACAGTCTTGGGATAGTGCTGAGGTGCACCCCTACCTCCTCCTCCGCCCGAAGAAGCACTGCAAGAGGAAAGAAATATAACAGGTAGAATCCAGTCATTTCTAAACTGAATGTAGGTGAAGATGTGCGTTTCACAAGAAGGGACTTCATAACTGTACGATAGTGCCTGCGTGGTTCACATCCCCTAGACTAAACAAGCAGTGGACTAGCTAAAAATGGAAATATACCTCAAGGCTATTCAGTTCAAAAACAAAGTCCCGAAAGACAAAGGAAAGCGTACGAAAAATCTAATACAACTCACCTGAAACGAGAAGCACCCCCCTCTGCAATCACACTCTCCACTTTGGCGGCTTGACAACGAATGATACCCAAAAAGAATAATATAGAAAGGGTGGGGGTGGAGAAAACGACCTGGGGGAGAAAGCACAGGAAGAATTGTTAAAAGGAGGCTGAACGTTTCAGTAAATGGCCCAGGCCTACTGAAGACAGAGCCCAGGGGGGGAGGGGAACCTAGCCCTTCTAAACAAACGCAGAAATATTCATAGATGCTGATTTTTTTAGGATTTAGCACTCGGGCAAGATGGTTATTGGCGGGTGATGTATACTGAATTACTTACTATCTAACGTTAAGGCACAGCTGGACCACTGTGTGGCCTGTAGGTCCGCGGTGCCTAGAGAGTCGGACAAAAGGCTTCTGCCATGTTGTTCCCTTCGATGATAGAGGAAAGAACACGACGTACAGCGGAGCAGCACGATCACAATAAGGGGTGTTCAGTAGATTTTCCCCCCATAAAAATAACGTATAGCCAAACACAAACAAATATCTTGTCCAAAACGGTTGGTTTCTGAACAGCTCGCTTCCAAACACTTTATTGTCCCGGCGGAAAAGCTAGCTAACCGGGCTAGCTGGTCGGCTAAACATTTTCGGGGAGAAAAATAATCAACTTGGGAACCATTTGACGTTAAAAGCAAGTTGTTACACGTCAGAGCAAAGCTGTGCAAACCGGACTCTACTTGATAAACTATCTGACAGCGTTGTTATCTAGTTTACACTTGAATTTTCCTGTTCGCCGGCAGCTGCGCAGCGTGAGCCCACAGCTGATCCGGTAATGTTAGCCTGCTAAGGCTTAGCCAGCTCGCCAGACGCCATTTTCTGGTGGAACCATCGCGAAGCTGGCAAGAAAACGGACTCAAACGGTACAGAACCACACGGAGAGACCCGGCCTCTAAACGGGCACCGAAAACGGCAACGGCGCCGGCTGGAAATCACAAAGCCGGCTCCTCTCCCGAGCAGCAGGAGCCAGTTAGCAACGAGCGGGGCCATTTTATAACGGCCCCAGCGTTAAAACGCTTCACACAGTACCGCACAGGATAAAACACACAATTTAAGAGTTCAAAGTAACAGAAAAAACACCTTACCTTTTCTAAAAGACCTTCAGCTTTGTTGTGTTTCGGTTACCAAAAGAGAAAGAAAATAAAAATGAGGAATAGAGGGTGAATTTGTGGGAGAGCGCCTGCTAAGTGTCTTGTTGAAGAGCAGTACGCCTGGAGGCGATGCTAGGCTAGGCTATGCTAAGCTAAGCTGTGTTCACCGGTTCGGAGCAGAGCGCTGAGAGAGTCTGAAGCCTGACGTCAGCGACAGGCGCGACTTTATTCGCCAGACCGACCAACCCTGCTGGCTGCAACGTCACGATGACAGCGTGGGTCGTAGCCGCAGGTGGGTCGGGTTTCCAGTTCAGCTACCTCTTAAAGGGACATCCCACCGATTTTTCGCATTCTCTTCGTAATGAAATCGTTGAGATGTAAACAAAGTCACCGATGTTTGATGTGAGATGGTGCACTGCAGAGAATCCTAGCAAGTCAGATTTCTTCACAGTGGTGGTCCCGGAAACCAGGGGTCGCGATGCCTACAACGCAAATATAGCCATTTTATTTGCTATCCAAACTGATCATTATGTCTTCTGAGTTTTGATATGTAGGGTAATGTTAATGATGGTACAGTAGCGGTTAATCGAGTGACTTAACGACTGAGTTATGCAGACATTTTGAAAAGTCTTTGAAATTCCATTTTAAGGTTATTCTATATATATATATATATATAATATATATATATATCATAATATATATATATATATATATATATATATATAGGCACACTTATAGTATAAAAGTATAAAAGTAGCAGGTCAAAAAAAACAAAACAAAAAAAAACCCAAAAAATGAAACTACTGAGTACATCCAGTATCTATTATAGTTGAGCACAATAACTGTTTACTTTAACACAGCATATGTATATATATATATATATATATATATATATATATATATATATATATATATACAACAATTACAGACTGTAGTCCATCTGTTGCTCTGCATAGTTTGTTCTTCAGTGTCAATGGTCAACACTGTAGTCGCACTAACGTGGTGGTGGTGTGTTAGTGTGTGTTGCGCTGGTACGAGTGGATCAGACACAGCAGTGCTGCTGGAGTTTTTAAACACCTCAGTGTCACTGCTGGACTGAGAATAGTCCACCACCCAAAAATATCCAGCCAACAGCATCCTGTGGGCAGCGTCCTGTGACCACTGATGAAGGACTAGAGGATGACCAACACAAACTGTGCAGCAGCCGATGAGCTATCGTCTCTGACTTTACATCTACAAGGTGGACTGACAAGGTAGGAGTGTGTAATAGAGTGGACAGTGAGTGGACACAGTGTTTAAAAACTCCAGCAGCACTGCTGTGTCTGAGCCACTCGTACCAGCACAACACACACTAACACGTCAGTGTCACTGCAGTGCTGAGAATGATCTGTGGTGGTCCTGTGGGGGGTCCTGATTGGTGTAGAACAAAGTGAAAGGGGCTAACAAAGTAAGCAGAGAAACAGATGAACTACAGTCTGTAACTGTACAACTACAAAGTACACCTATATGATAAGTGGAGCTGATAAAATGGACAACGAGCGTAGAAACAAGGTAGTTGTTCCTAATAAAGTGCTTGGTGAGTGTACATACATGTACACAGTTGTGGGCAAAAGCTTGAATGCCCCATAAAATCACTGTTTAAGGCAATGTTCTAAGGAGTTTAAGGAGTTTTGTGTGATGACCACTAGAGGGCAGTAGAGATCAGCCTTTCTAATGCCAGGTTGCGGGAGGGATTTTAATGTTTAAACATGGCACAATGGGAGACCGTGGCCCATTATCTCCAGGCCCAGTCTGTGAATTTTGATCAACTGCAGAAGTAAAACCACTTCAGTGAAAACAGCCTTAGTTTACAGTACAGACTGGACCATAATCCTGCTCTTAGTGTGGGCAACTACACACAGCTGGTGATTTCACAATCCCTGGAGAGGGAGGGGTATTTACTTCTCTACTGAGGCACTATTTCGAAAGGGGTTCCTGGAACTCTTTTTGTGTCAGACACCGTCATCACTTGTTTCTCACTCAGCTCAGTCATGCCTGCGGCCTTTGGGTGTCTCGATATGGTGCGAGACACAGAGAGTACAAAGAGGCCTGCCAGCAAAATGGCACCATTCCTTTCTCCCATTTTGTTTGGGTCTTCTGAAAAAAGTCTTGTTTTCAGAAATTCAGTTGTTTTCTGGGCAAATGTAGCTGTATTTGTATTCCAGCGGTACACTCTTTAAAAATATGGTTCCTCAAGGGTTCTTTAGTAAAGGCAGTGGTTCTATTTAGAACCACTTCATGTTTAAATAGTTCTTTGCATATTAAAATGGCTCTTCAGCTTGAAGGAGAATGTGTTGTATGTGCTTATATATAGGACCTTTCTGAGAACGGTTCTAAGTAGCATCAAAAAGGGTTCTTCTACTGTTATGATGTCAAGGTTGTAACATCAAAAGAACCCCTTTTGGTGCTGTATAGAACCCTATACGACACATTCTTCATCAATCTGATGAACATTTTACCATGCAAAGAAGTTTTTAAGCATGAAACGGTTCTATATAAAACTTGTGGTTCTAAGAACCCTTGAAGAACCATCTTTTTTAAGAGTTTAATTCAGATTAGATCAGTTGATGGTTTTAAATCCACCAGGCACCTCATGGAGAGATAAGAGTAGGGAGGATTTCGGTTCTCATCCACATTTAATTAGATCATACTTTTGCCTGTGCCTCAGCTGAACGGCGGCGTCTGTTGAAGGTGATCACAGAAAGTAATAAATTGCGCTGATATGAAGTGGCGGAAATTTACTGTAGACTGGAAGACCTTGGCAGCGCACAGGAAGCCCCAGGAAAATGAAATGAGTTTAGTCAGAGATTGTCCAAGGATTAGTTCCTTACCGACAGACCTTGCTTGACATCACCGCAGAGCTGATCTGCTGAGCTTTTCATTTCACTTCTATTGAAAGCGCTATTATAATGCAGAATACTTATTAATATAAGAGTCCAGTGTTCAATAGGACTAGTGCCGCTCTCCATACTGCACACACAAAAACTGGTTCAATACAGGGTTCGACTTTAATACACATTACCATCCAAAAGGTTGGAATCACTTGATATATTAATAATCTGTGCTGATTTATATACAGTAATAACTCATACAATACTGTAATGATCTATGTACAGTCATTTTTTGTCAAGTTATTCAAGATCTGATCACTACTGTTCAAATATGAGGTGTTCAGGATGTTATATTCACCATAACATAATTATTATAATATTATCTTATAACTTATAGTCATTATATTTATTTGCTTGTCTACAATCCTGTGCAAAAGTCAGAGACCACCCTTCATTTATTTCATATCCTGTCAATATGGACATTGAGTGCAAGTTATTCATTTCTCAGTGTAAAGGAAAAAAAAAGCACAAAACATATTTAACAGAAAATTACACAGAATACCTCAACAACTAAACCAGTGTGTCCACTCTTTGCCCTTATTACAGCGTCCATTGTTTTCAGTTTTTCACAGAAATCTGCAATGACATTTTTCCACACCTCCAAAGTTCAGTCTTAGAAGTTGGTCGGATTTTCCGCTTCTCACAATCCAGTTAATCCAAACACATACAGTAATGAGGTTGAGGTCTGGACTCTGGGGTGGTCAGTCTATTGTTCTGAGAACACCAGCAGCTTCTTTGTTTAATTTGCACAATTTCTTTTTATTTTGTCTATTCTCTTTTCTCAGTAAGGGCTTCTTGACAGCTACACATCCTTTCAGACTCATAGTGTTGAGCGGATGAAAGCTTTCAGTACTGTTTGTCTGATGGTGACAGTTTTGGTGGTCCACCAACTCTTATATGGTCCCATTTTCTCTATCTTTCAATCATTTTTTCAAATCATTTACTTGCACTTTTTATTTCCTTAACAATGTCTGACTACTTGTATGGTATCGACCAAATACTGTATTCCGTTGCTGTTGTTCTGGTTGCTACCTCAGTGACTACAATGTTCAAATA